GGGGGGGGGAGAATCCAGGAAAAAAAAACTCGTGTAGAAGCAATGCAAACGACTTTTGGCTGAGCATCACATCCAAATTCCTCACGGAACCGAAGATAGAAAAAAAAAAAAACAGAAAACGACAGAATCAGAGTCATTATTATCAAACTAACGCACCCCCCTGTAAACCCCTTTAGCCCCTTAAAAACCAATTTACACCCCACTTCAGCCCCCTTGACAGTCATCACTCGACAAAAGAAAGGAGCCCGGATTTAGGCTCCTCTGGGCATGCATGGAAAACCCTCACCCACAGGGTTGCATGCCTGCCGACCGCCGACCGTTTTGCAGCGGACCAGAAGGGCCTACCAGTTGGAGGTCTGCTCACCAGTCAGAAAACAGCCATCTACTGATTTTTTTTCAAATCTGAGTTAGGGGCTGTACTGCGCTTAGAGAGTACAGCCCAAATCCGCTGAGAAACTTTTTGGGATGAGGGGGGGGGGAGGTTGGGGGTGGGTACAGGGGGGTTACAAGGGGTATTCGGGGGGGCAATGAGGGTGTTGGGGGGCGATTTGGAGGTGTTGAGGGGGTGTATAGGGGTATTGGGAGTGGCTGAGGTAGCCAGACGTGCCCCTCCATTCTACAGATTTCAAGGGCAGAGAAAAAACAATTAGGGCCCCGTATTCCTCATTGCATATAGCGTTTTTTTTTCTGAAGGGGCCCCAGCAGAGAATCTGCAGGGCTCATATTTCTCAGCGGAGACACTCGATGAATTTCGGATGATCGAGGAGCAGGCCAGCAATACATCTTCTGTATCAGAATTCAGGTCTGTGTTCCAGCAGTTATGGGTTTCAAGTTTCAACTACTTACTGCCGTAGCTCTCTTTCTTTCTTTCTTTGTTTTCCTTTTCCTACGAGCAGTGGCCCTAAGGGCCTGGCTCCACTCGTCACCACTTGCACAAAAGACAACACAAATGGCTACGTCTGATTCCATGTTCTAATAGAAGATTCATTCTAGTTTTGCACATTTGGTGAGTAATGGAAAGAAGCCCTGAAGATCATGTGGTTAGTTGGCCTGCTACTACCCAGATAATCACGTGCTCTATGCTCCCATAACTGCTGAAACATGGACCTTAATGCGAATCTACACCATTTATACTTGGCGTCCTGCTGCCCTGCAATGTGTTCGACAAGTGCCACTTTCGTGGAGAGGAGGCCCTTGCTAATCATTTGCAGGGGCCTCTAGGATTACCCACACAGGTTTTCTGATGAATGTTAAAGGGCTATTTGTTCTCTTTCTCAACTTCTGGAAAAATTTCTAAAAAAGGACGTAACAATCAAGGCATCATTACTAGCTGACATAGGGGTGGTGGACATAAACAATAGTAGGCACTAAAACATGTGGATACTTTTTGCAAAATGCACTTGGAACTCTCTCTCTCTCTCTCTCTCTCTCTCTCTCTCTCTCTCTCTCTCTCTCTCTCTCTCTCTCTCTCTCTCTCTCTCTCGGGCGCGCACACGCGCCTCTCTCAGTCGCTCTCTCGCATGAGGTTTCACACATCACAGCGGTTCTGGTGGGGTTGTTAGGGGTTCTGGACACAATTTCTTTTTTTTTTTTTGTGTGTGTGGGGGGTGCCAACGATCCCCAACCGGCAGGTGCCGACCAGCTGACGGGTCGGCTGGTCCGCAACCGACTAGTCAAGGCCCGCCGACCGTCGGGGTGTGCAACACTGCTCACCCACAAAGAAAGAAGGGATGATTTTCTCCTGCATGGGTGACCCTGGAGCCACTTGCCCGGGCTGCACGACCAGGGGAGTCAAGTAGCCGAGCAAAAAAGTTGAAAAACAAAATAAAAAATTCATGCACACATCTCTAAGTTGGGGTCTTTGTTTGAGAATTCTCAATCAAAATGGTATGTATGGAGAGAGAAGACTACCATAGTACATAAGCACTGAAAACCAGCAGCATCAGACTGACTCTCCTTGTTTTTCTTTTTCTAGTCGGCACAATTTTTCTTCGGTGGACAGGGCGAGTCTGCCACCACACCCCGCCCCTCCATTTTTTTTTGTTGATCCCTGATTTTCAGGGTGCGCGTGCGCCACACGCGTGCGGCACACACGCATGAGGTGCGCCGCAACACTGTGTAAAACCCAAGTTTTGGTTCAAACATGAACCTCTCTCAATTGTGGCCAGACGCACACTGGTTCTCGATCCACAGGCAGGCATGCTATGAAGTACACAACAAGAAGTTATGTTATAAATACAATATCAATTAAAAATTTTAAATTGATATTGATATTGTATTTATAATTTTATATTAATTTTATAACATAATTAGATTATTATAGTTATCAATATGGATCATACTTGCGGCGCATCAATGCGGTGCGCGATGCGGTGCGCGGTGCGCACCTGTGCTGTGCGCGCACTCGTGCGCGATGCACGCGCACTGATGCGCAGTGCGCAGTGCACAGTGCGCTGCGCGGCACTCCGGTGCGCAGTGCGCCGGTGCGCTGGGGCGTGCGCGCGACGAGCGCACTTTCGCGCATGGTGCGCCGTGGTATACATGGATTTTTTTTTTTTTTTTCTACGTGATACACCGAGTTGATGAGTTAATAATACTTAATATAAGTTATTTTGTTTATATAACATTATAGTATGATTATACTATGATTACAGTATTACGGGGAACCCCGTAGAGAGAGAGAGAGAGAGAGAGAGAGAGAGAGAGAGAGAGAGAGAGAGAAGAAACCGTGTGCTGACACTATCGGACCGAAGAAACCGCCCTTATCAACGGGCAACATGAATCCGGAAGCGGGGCGACATGCACAAAGGACAAATAATATGGTGGTGTATCTTTCCATGTTCTGGCGGAAGATTCATTCATTCGTTGCGTGGTGGAGAGCGAAGGGCCGATGAATCAGGTAAGCACGTAACGTATCTCTGGAAGCTTTCTTTTTTTTTTTTTTGGAGAATCTCTGAACAAATGAGACTGAATCCTCCGCTTGAACATGGAAAGATACATTTCCATATATGTCTTCTTGTGCATGTCGAGAGTAGTCCAGCGAGCCGGTTGGTAAACATTACCGTTGAGGTTCTGACAGGTTGGACGCGCCGGGCTTCACTCGTGCAAAGAAATTGGGGATCGCCACACCACTCTCGAAATTTGCAAAATGGGGATGAACTTCCCGCTAGAACACGACCAGATGCCCCAGCCACATTTTTGTCTTTTTCACATTTCGAGAGTGGTGTGGCGAGGCCCATTCTGATGTTCTTCCTTTACGGTTTTTTCTTTTTATTAAAAAAAAAAAATCCAGGAAAAACTGGCTGCCCGTTTCTTATTTTACGCGAGCAGGGGGCCGGGTCCACTACCGCCCCTCACAACTTTTTTTTTTTTGACCCCCATTTTTGGAGGTGCGCCGCATGCAGTGCGCGCGCGTTGTGCGGGATGCGCCGTGCGGCGCACGTGCGCAGTGCAGCGCATGGCGATGCGCCGCATGTATGATATGGATATTTGATTTATTGTACATATTATATTGTGATTCAGAAAGTTCATAACAATGAAATACTTCTTCCTCCCAGTATAACCAGGGATACTGAACCCAGAACTGCTAAACCACTCCCCTTACTCCTCTCCAAAATCCTCCTCTCAACTTCAATAATACATGCAATTTTTCAAACCAGAAGCTCAACTTCATAATTGCCTTTCTGCTTCAGGTTTCACTGCAATCTCAAGAGCTTTTCTGCAGACCTTTCAAGAGGTGGTTGCCATCTCAAGAGGTTTTCCGCAGACCTCTTTCAGGACTGACGTAGCTGAAAGCTGTCGGCATTCCGGAGTGTCGGTGATAGACAGCACGGAAGTGGGAGTGATGGCAATGCTGGGGATCCATTTGAGGGAGAAGATCGGTGGATACCCCTGAGGATGGCAAAGTGGCCGTTGCCGTAGCGTGGCATTCGGGACACCGATCCTGATTCGGGAATCGGGACTTCTTTTTCGGAAGTTTTTCCTATACTGTAATCATTGAGTTTGGAGTTTGACATCTGTGTACTTGTCCAACGTCTACGACGCTGACTGCATGATTTTATTGAAATTGATTATCTTTGTATCACAAACTGGACTCCGGACAGTCAGGAATGGCGGACACAGGCGACAAAAAACTAGGCTCGAGGGGCAGACATCAAGCAAGACCAGGCTTGTTCTTCAATGGGCACCGCATCTAGGCGGGGATGTACAGCAAGATGACCCACGCATCAGGGAACAGAAAATCATGCGATATCAATGTCACTGAAACGTTTTCAAAATAAAAGACATGATAGAAATGTGAATAAGTTTTCCGGAAAAAGACTCCGATTTTCGGGTCCGGAAGTATACGTCAAAAAGAATACAAAAAACAGGACCAGATACAGATATCAGGCCAGATTATTCACTGGGTGAAAGATAATTCCCAGAGATAACTGGCTGACAGCTGCCTGCCTCACCGATCTCAAGATTGTAGGGCCAGATATCCCACCACATTCCACGGATCCAGATGCTCTAAGCCTGATGGACTAGGTGCACAGATGTGAATGACTTCTACGGATCCAGATGGTCTAAGCCCGATTGAAGAGATCTGTCTCGTACGCCAGTCAACGGGGTTGGAATGACTTCTCGCCGTTCTCGGCGCTTTTCCCGACAACTACCCAGGTGGCCCTTTTCCCAGCAACCATCCATAGCCATGAAATGTGGCAGGAGTCGCAGGACATCCAGACTTGCTCCCTAGCACAAAAAGGCAATTTACTCCATAGCAGACAATCTTTCCTACACCCCATTACACCCCAAAAACGGTTTTCAGAAGACAGCTTGGATTTTAAGGCTCCATTTGACATCAAAAAAATGACCACATTATTCGCTGGGTGCCAGTCAAAGAAAGATATCTTGATTGGCCATTCCTACGCTGTCCTGATTTCTCAGACAAATGGATGCAGAGTTGTCTGAGATGGGCATTCTGTTCCACTTGTGGTCGCTCCCACAGGGCCCGCACATGACCCCACTCACTGGGTTGACCTTTGGTCCAACCGGGCCCACATGTTCCCCCCAGGCCTGATTGCCTAGTCTCAAAATGACGGGTCCCATGTGGAGCACCTGTTATTTTTCTCATCAGATTCCACTGGAATTTGAACTCAGATCGCTGTTCCAACAGTTCATGGGTGTACCAGCTGAGGTACGCCAGTAGGCCCACTACTTAAACAGGAAAAACGGGGGCCTGATCTCAAAGAGGAAGTGGTGCACTTACGATTGACCTCCTTGTCCACTCAAAGGCATCGCAGAAGACTCGATCAACCGCATCCTACAAGGCAAAAACAGAAGCAGGACATGAAAGGCCGTACGGAACGTTAGTCTGCAATAAATTTAGCTGTGGATGGTTTGTCCATGCAACACACAGCCAGACCAGCCCTCAGCTATGAAGGCCAATCCGTTTGATCGCAAATGGCATTTCGAAAACATGAGGCACGTTCGCTTGCCAGGTGATTCGGCACATGAGCGAATCCTGCCCGAAAAGCAGCAAAAGAACAAGCACGCTCACCTGCGCCATCAGGTACGAAGGCCAGTCGTGAGAAACGAGGTAGAAGTCATTCCCATGCAGAAGCGACTCGACAATGTGGCGGAACTCGTGGTATGAACCAAAGCCTCCAGTCTGAATATGTCGGATGACCTGCTTGCACAGCCAATGATTGAACAACCGTTCACACAGGTAAGCCCGGCTAAAAACTCTCTCTCTCTCTCTCTCTCTCTCTCTCTCTCTCTCTCTCTCTCTCTCTCTCTCTCCCCACACCATCACCAGTCAGCAAAAGGTACTCTGGGTAAACCAAAGGAGCCACAGAATGAATTCCGATACACATACAAAGCATGAAGAAATCACAAATTGAAAAATAAATACCGAGACTGCCAAGACTTGCACACAGTACACAATAAAACAATCCAGTACCTGCAAATAGTGCGGAACAGAACCCATTCTGTAGGGAGTATGTCCTATCAATCCCACCACAGTCAAGGCATGCTGTCCAGTGCAAGTTTACTAAACTGTATGCAGGTTTTTTATTTCTTTTTTTTTGACCCAAAGAAATCAAATGAATATCATTGTCGCCTGATGAACGACAGCTCAGGTATTAAACTGATTGGAACAGATATTAGTATCATATTACACACGATCTTAGCCAAAAGGTCGCGAAAGGTATTGTAATTTTTATGCAGGTTTTGACATTGCCTTACGGCCATGACACACATTTGCAACTCAGGGAGCGTACGGCCATGAGGTGTGTGGATCACCAGCAAAATTCTATACACACAAAATTTAAATTTTAAAGAGGTCAGCGGAGGTGACGCATGGCACAAAATGGGGGGAACGGATAGA